TTCTCTGGGAAAGTTTTTTTCTGCCATCCTTTACTGCCACTAAATCACTACATAACCTAGCTAGAAAATTACCTGATGGTTCAAATCAAGAAGGGAATAAAACTGACACACTCCAGGAACAACTCAAAAAAAGGGAATTTTAAATGGACTTCTGTTTCTATTGGAAAAAAAACTTAAACATTTGCTTATTGTTATCAAACAACTTTTCTAGGTTTTAAAAAATGCTATAGAAATAAAACGAATATTTACAGTACAAGAACTCATCTCAGTATTCTCAATAATTATGAAGACCAAATGTCTCCATCAACACTATCCAACAGAAATTTTGGAAATAATGGAAATTTTCTGTATCTTTACTCTCTAATATGGTAACCACTAGAAACATGTACTACTTAGCATGTAAAAGGTGGCAACTGCAACTGAGGAGTGAAGTTTTTACTTAAAACAGTCATGTATATCTAATGGCTACCATATCGGATGGACAGTGCAAATTTAGACAATCCCCAGAGAGTACAGAATTGGCTAGTGAAAAATGAAAACACAGCAGTGCTTTTATAGAGTGCCTGCCATGCAAGGCAAGTGCAATAGGCTAGAAAGAATATACCATTCTGTATTAATGACTTCTGGGGCTCCAAATAAGGTCATTATTTATCAGCAATAAAAAGCTGACAAAGATCATATAATCTTAGTTATACATACACCTTATTGGTAAAATGTGGCTAAAAGTACTTGCCTTTATAGGTACTAAATGAATAAATTTCTTTGCAAATGCAGGTATTCTGTAAAATGGAAAACACCATGTACAAATGTAGAGCTTGAGTATCCCCAAAATGTTTGGAACCAGAAATATTTTAGATTTTGGAATTTTTCAGGTTTTAGAATACTTGCATAGACTTCACCAGTTCAGCATTACTAATCTGAAAATCCAAATGCTCTAAAATTGGAAACATTTTTTTTCTATTGCCATGGTACTCAAAAACAGCTTTGCATTTTAGAATTTGGGGTCTGGAATGATAATTTTTACAACTCATTTGGGTAAATGAAAATATGACCATATACCAATCACAAAGCTACTTATCTAAGTCTATCCTCAACAGTAGGATTAAACACCTGAGGCAAAGTCAAGTGAATTTGAGTATTACTGCCTCATTACAACTAAAGTATACATTAAAAAGGGGTATTCTGATTAGACCAAAAGGCGATTTGTCTATCCACATTTTTTATTCTGAAAGGTTAACTTTTCAGTTTTTTTAATAGCTAACAAATGTGAATTAAAAGGTAATAAACAATGCCAGAATTTTGAAGGCAGAAGACAAAGTACTGGCAGCATCTCTGGCAAAATACTGACAAGGTTGCTTCACACCAAGAGAACAGTGAAACAGCTCTTTGCTGTCTGGCCACTGTTTATTGCTGTAATGGTAACTACAGAAGTCAAGGAATAGTTCTCATTACACATGGTCCACATCTATAGAAATGTATGTAATTAATACTACCTCAAAGAGTTACAGCATTTTAAACATTTTAACTGTTTGCCTGAAGATTATATTTTATAATAACTCTATTAAGTAAATAAGAAATAATCTGATACTCTAAGAAGCTGAAAATCATGCTCAAACTTAAACACAAGCATATTATTATATAGCAATCTCCTGATCTTTTACAATGGGGTTCATTTATGTTTGTATATACTTCCTCATTTAAGGAAAACAAAAACAAAAAGGTTCTAGCCCAATTAATTAAACAGTAATTTTCAGATTTGGACAACAATTTTCCAAAGACAGAGAAAACAAATTCTTACAAAATTCAAAACTCATTCTGACGTGGTATACATGTATCTTTTAAAACCTGATTGATAAACCAAGCATTAAAATCAATCTCATTAGTATGAGAATTGGTTATATAAAAAAATTGTTTTCCATGGTTTTTAAAAATTAATTTATAAGCTTTTTAATTACTGATGACACATATGTTATTTAAGAACTGGAATGCTTATTATTAAAAGGATAATGTCCATACAAATTTTTAAACTTAAATTACAGGGAATAAATTTTTTCCCCTGTATATCCTTTTATCTGAAGGGTGGTCTCCTTCTGTATCTTGTTACCATTTTTCTCTTTACTCGCTGAGGATCAGCTTCTTATCCTCAGTTCTTTCCTATTCTCTGAACTGTCTACTCAAAAATTAAAACTAAAAATTTTTTTGCCAATAAGGAGTGGTTCAACTTGTTTTAAATTACCACCATTTAAAATCTGTGAAACAAGGGATACCTATGTAAGATGAGGATGTTAAAAGGTATAAAACTCCTAAGGAAAAAAACAACAAACAGAAATTCTAACTAAAAATCCTATTTATATTATTAAAAATGTACTTCCATTAATATATTAAGTAGCATCATGTTTTACCCTAAATTGAGGTAAATTATTTGTCATTGAATACATTATTTTAAATTTCACCTTAAAAATTAACCCAGTAATAAAATGTACATCAAAGAGAACAAAATTTACTATAGGCAAACTTAAAAATAAGTTTTAAATGATTAAGCCAGTTAAGAAGAAATCTTTATTACAAAACTATACTCCTTTGAATAAATGGCAGATGTATCATCATACTAAGGAATTTGTTACCAATATAACACTTAATATATTTAGGATATTTTCCATAACAAGTTATCTTATTTTTATAATAAAGCTTGTGATTTTTTAAACTTTTTTTTAAATTGTAGTTGGACACAACTCCATACATACAATAAAATACCCTTATTTTATTTATTTATTTATTTATTTATTTATTTTTATATGGTGCATAGGATCAAACCCAGGCATTCTACCACTGAGCCAAAACTCCAGCCCCCATAACAAGTTATCTTTACCACAATTTTTTTTAGTTGTAGATGAACATGATACCTTTATTTAATTTATTTATTTTTATGTGGTGCTGAGGATCCAACCAAGTGCTTCACACATGCAAGGAGAGGATTCTACCACTAAGCCACAACCCCAGCCCTCTTTACCACAATTTAATCATACATTTTAGACTTCAAAATCAACCTGTTGAAATTAACAAGAGTGTGAGCAACCTCTTTCTGATAATATTTACAGTCTGGAGCCAGATGTGGTGGCATGCCTGTAATACCCAAGAAGCCCAAGCACCAGGATCTCAAGTTCAAAGCCAGCCTTAGCAACTTAGCAAGGCCCTAAGCAACTTAGTAAGATGCTCTCTCAAAATGAGTAACAAAAGAAAAAAGGGTGGGGGGACTGGGAATGTGGTTCAGTGGTTAAGTGCCTCAGATTCAATCTCTGGAACCCCTCCCAAAAAAACATTTTACACATATGTGAGTGTGTATATGTATGTATGTATGTATGTGTGTGTATATACATATATATACATATATGTATATATATACATATATATACATATATGTATATATACATATATGTATATATATACATATATACATATATTTATACACACACATCACACATAAGTGTGTGTGTGTGTGTATATATATATATATATATATACACACGTTATATAAATTATATACATATTTTTTAATGTACTCTCAAAAGAGTAATGTATGATTGCTGCTGTAAGGAAAATTCAAACACTAAAATTTTGAGGCTTTGGGACTGGGGAGGTTGTTCAGTAGTAGAGTACTCACTCACCTTGCATGCATGATACCCTGGGTTCAAGCCTCAAGGCCAGAAAAAAATAATCATTTTTTCTTTTTTGGAGGCTTCAATTCTAGTTTACTTATTTCAGGAATTGCAACTTAAACATTATAATTAGGTTAGAAATAAACTCTGAAATTTAGTATAAGCATGAAATGTGGTTTTAGATTCTGGTTTTCAAAATGCATACCAGAAAATAACCAAAGAGATAGAGAGAAATAAAGATATATATATATATATATATATATATATATATATATATATATATATATATACACAAACATTAAGAATATATATATATATATATATATATATACATTAAGTATATATATATATATATATATATATATATATATATATATGATTTGTTGAAATCTCACAAATTTCTATGAAGGCCCATGAAGTCTCATATAAATACAATGAAAGTGAAGAGTAATCTTTACTTCATAAAACTTACATTATGAACATGAAAATGAACTGCTACTTATCATAAAAGTTCAGGAGCTCTCTCTTAACTATGTATTATCACTGATATCAAATTGGGACATTAAAGAAACACTAAAAGACTTAGGTACTACGATTAAGTCAGGGAACACATAACTCTTTAGTTCAGGATAACCAAATCCTATTACCTACTTCTAACTAGACAAATTCTGTGATTAGTCCTTAATTTAAGAAGAGGTTACAAATCAGCAAAACAGAATTAAGTTTGAATACTGGGGAATAAAATTCATTCAAGTACAGTCAGTTTAAATTCGACAACGATATGGAAAGCTGAATTAAGGTCAAAGCATCGACAATCTACATTGTAAACATTAGTTTGCTTATTAAAGACCAATCAATGTGCTCTATTGCCTTTAACAAGAAGGTTTAGATTCCAATGGTCTCAAATTATCCTGAACCAAACTGAGAGGAACCAAAGACTTCTTTTTCTTTTTTGGTACTCTTGTTTCCCCAGCCTTACCAATTTTTTATTTTATAGTGCACTATTATTTATTTTTTAATTTTTATTTTGCTTTTATTCATTTTCCCCCATTATTCTCATTGGTGCATTACAGTTGTACATTATGGTGGGCTTTGTTTTTACATATTCATACATACACACAATATAACAATATAGTTTGGTCAATATCATGCCCCAACTGCACAATTACTTAACTATAAAATGGTTTACACTGTAAACATCAAACACATAGGTAAAAAACTAACCATAAAATAACTGAAACAGAACAATTTTATCATTGTATACACACTTATCTGTAGAGAGGCTAGCATTTAAAATTTTACAACCTATCCAGTAAGTATGCTAAGAGAAAACAGTGAACAAACCAGAAAGAACAGCGTCCTTGAAAGATTGTAACATGTGGGTGACCTCCCTGATATCATTCAACACCTCCTTGATGTAGTCCTTCCTTGATGCTAAGTTGGAACTTATGGACTTATCAGCAGAAAGTTGGCCTGATGCTGAAAGAGACTTTTTCTTTGCCTTCTTCTTTCTGTGAGCAATCATCCTCTTATTTAAAAGTCAGAAAAACTGAAATCCTTAATGGGGCAAGAAACAAAAACAAAAAAGAATGAAACACAAATACTACATGAGCTAGGGAAACATATCAGGTTTTCACAAACTGCCCATAGTCTACCTTAGTATTCTATTTTTAATTTTTAAAAACAAATGAATAAAACACTGTACTATGAATTGTGGATTCTTAAAAGTGTCTGTAATCCTGACAATGTCCAATATGCAAACTATCATTCTTTTCATTTCACAAGTGAGGAACCTGGGTTTAGAGGTTTAAAAATATGTCTATGCTCTCTACTGCTAAATGATGAACTTCGAGTTCAATCTAGATCTGCCTTAACTTTCTCTTAATTCCTAAGGTATAGAACATTTTTTAATTGTAAAAGTTGTTTAAAATCCTCCTCCATCATTTACTATATGACCTCAGAAGCTGTTAATCATCTCTTCACTTTAGTATGCTTATTTATAAAATCAGAAAAACATCCTGACAACACCTACCTGAGGAGCATATTTTACAGAATTAAATGAGACAGTAGTATAGAAGTATACATTGAGCACATGAAAGTAGTTGAATTACAGTTATTTTCTCTAGTGAGATACACACACACACACACACACACACACACTCTGACATTCTGGGTTATTAAGTTTCATAAAGAACATTTTTGTTGAAAACAAATTCTAAGGATGCCCCTTAATCTGATGTATCCTGACTAAACAAATAAATGTCATATTATCAGAGTAATACTTCTGGTAATTTAAGGATGTTAAAGACAATGTTTTGGAATTAAAAACAAGTTAGATTTGAATCCTGGCTTTAATATTTTCTAAATGTGTGACTTACACTATTTACTCTCATGTTTGCATGGAGATTAAAAGGGATCACGAAATTTAGAAACTTTTATGTTAAAATGTCTATTCCTGGCCCACTGGGACTCAAAGAGAATCTTAGTTTCTTTTTCATCCTTATTTTAACTTTCCAGAATTAAAAGACCCAATTTTTGAAAATTTCTTAAAATAAAAAAGGAAACAACTTAAGGAATTAGCACAAGCATGATCATTAAAAGATTTTTCAAATATTTTGGCTTAAGTATTTGGATACTTTCAAAATGTAAAATGACAAAGGACTCCTATGAATTAACAGTAGAAAGTTTTATGCAATATTTTAATCATTGTAAGATACATTACTGTATCATGTACTATTACACCATGACCAATTCCACAGATTTGGTTTATCCCTGTGATTACAGTTCTCTAGTCTGTCCACTTCTATTTCTGCCTCTCCCACACTAGTGAATTGTCATTTCTTGCCTGAGCTACTGCACTAATTTCCTAATGATCATTCCACAACCATTCTTGTCCCATTATAAATGTAGTAAGTAAACTTTTCAAACATAAAAGATACCAAACAAAAAGATACAAAGCCAAACAAACATATTACAAGAAAACTGAGCCCAAATTCCTCAATACAGTATTAGCAAATTAAACCCAACAATACCATGGCCAAGAAGGCTTTGTCTCAGGATGCAAACTTAGTTTAACATTTACTAGAGAAAAACTATGTGACCATTTCAAAATGGTGTCATTTCTCTGCTTAAACCCTTCCAAAGGAAAAATGTCATGCTCTGTGAGACTGAGAGACATGGCTTTTGCCTGCCTCTGCAGTACCATCACACTCCTGGGCTCTAAACATTCCTGCCACATACACCTCCTTTTCATTCTTCTAACAGTATTTGTTTACTTTAACCCACAGTATGAAACAGTTTTACATCATGACTATTAATATATATATATATATATATATATATATATATATATATATATATATGTATGTAATGTTGGTGTGTGGTATGTGTAAGAATCTTTCGTAAAACAGATTCTAGCTAAGGATCCATAAGATGTACTCAGAATTTTTTCATTCTATTCAATTTCATTTTTATAAATGCTGATTTCAAGTTACTAAATTGGCTTCATACATGCAATAGGGTCATGACACTATAGCTTGAAAAACACCTATTGTTCAACTGGGGGTCCAGTCTACATGCAGATCAACTTGCCTGCAATATTCCTTCTTCTTCAATCACTGACTCTAATCTCACTCCAAGATCACTTCCTCAGAGAAACACTCCTGCACTACTCCCATGGTCCCATAACCACCATTACCAAACTAGAACAGAACCCCTAGCAATGCTCTAGAGCATCCTACACTGTTCATCGCTCCACAGTCCAAATAGATAATTCAATCTTACCATTTAGACTAGAATCTTAAAGAAATTAAGACCTTGTCTTGGTTGTTAATTATTTGTTCTCTTGCTCACAGCACAGTGCTTTACAAAGAAAGAATGAACTACTCAAAACTATTTGCAGAATGAATCATGACTTTGCAGAAACAGTGAACATAAATTAATATAGTTAGAACTGACTTTTACAGAAACAAAAATAACTCTGGATTTTTGCAATGTTTCAAAGAGAAAATTTTTTAAAAATCTATCTCTAAAATGTTATCTTTTTTTAAAAAAAGTAAATGAAGCCGAGTGAAGGCAAAATTACAAAAAAAACCTGAAATAAAAGTTGTATTTCTATTATGTTCTTTGTAAATATGGTAACCCAATACTTTTTAAAATATTTTTTAGTTATACATGGACACAATATCTTTATTTTGTTTGTTTATTTTTATGTGGTGCTGAGGATCAAACCCAGTGCCTCACATGTGCCAGGCAAGTGCTCTGCCACTGAGCCATAACCCCAGCACCCCACCCCCAATACTTTTTAATAGCTTTTAAAGTTCCTTTATTCAATATTCTTTTGTTAATTCCAAATTATTTAAAAATAGATTTTCTACACTTAAACTAGTTTCAAGCCTATCTAATGTTAATCCTTAAATATGTAATTTCTAAAATGAACCTCGGATCATGTTTTAGCACTCTTATTACACCTAATTTTTGCCATCAACAGAAATAAACAATTCAACAAAAAATTAAAGTGCCTTATTTGGGCAGCTCTTGTGTAAATCACTAACTGAAGAGCGATTAACCTAACAAATCTTATCACTTTTGCAGTTTACTTAATCAAAGTCATTGTTTACCTCTGGCAGCTTTTAAATTTAGTAAAATTAGGCAACTTTTTCACTGTTATTGGTAAAGATGTTACAAAAGTTAAAGACATAAGACAAGTTTGAAATAAAACACTTCACCTATAACCCACTTGAATCAAAGTGTGAAATATGATATATCAAGAACTATGTAATGTTTTGAACAACCAACAATAAAAAATTAAAAAAAAAAAAAAACTTCACCTATCTGAATAAAAAGAATAGACCTGAAGTAACTGTGTCAAATTAGTAACCCAGAGGGCTGGGTATGTGGCTCAAGCGTGCTCCCCTGGCATGCATGCGGCCCGGGTTCGATCCTCAGCACCACATACAAACAAAGATATTGTGTCCGCCAAAAACTGAAAAATAAATATTAAAAATTAAAAAAATAGTAACACAACGTTGTAAAAAAAAAACTTGACAATTTTTAAACAAGACAGCAAAATCTATTCTCTTTCTCTCTCTCTCTCTCTCTCTTACACACACACACACACACACACATAGTACTAAAACAGATTGTATTATACCTCTAATCAATATTATTATTAATGTTTTAATTTTATTATTCTACTTCTTTTCATGTTTAAAACTGAAAAAGATACCAAAGCCAGACAAAGACATTACAAGAAAACTGAGCCCAAATTCCTCAATACAGTATTAGCAAATTAAACCCAACAACACCATGGCCAAGAACGCTTTGTCCCAGGATGCAAACTTAGTTTAACATTCACTAGAGAAAAACTATCTGACCATTTCAAAAGACACAGAAAAAATATCTAACAGGATTCCATGCCCTTTCATGATAAAGTCAGCAAGTCAGAACAGAAGGGAAATTCTTCTACCTCACAAAAGGCATTTATAAATTTTTTTTAAAAAACTAAGACCTATTCATCATAATGGTGACAGATAATGCTTTCCTTTAGGAATCTGGATCAATATTGTTACCAAAGGGCTTAGCCAGTATAGTAGATTGAAAATAAAATGCATTCAGAATGAAAGGGGAGAAAGCATTTTAATGAGATCACATTCTGTGTTCCTAAAAATGTCTTGAGGAACTCATAAATAAGCTACTACATCCAATAAATGAATATAGCAAGGTCACAGAATACAAGTCAATACACTACAATATATTAACAACAAATAATTGAACTACAAAATTTTAAAAACCATTTATAATACCATCAAAAAAACCAAGATATTCTTAGAGATAAGTTGAACAAAGCATGTGTAAGATCCTAAATTAAAAGTTATAAAACACTACTGCAAGAAATGAAAGAACTGAATAAACTGACAGGCATGCCACATTAATAGAATTGCAAAACTCAATACTCTAAAATATTTTTTCTCTCAAAATGATATACAGTTTCAGGCAATTCCAAGATCCCTCCCGGGTTTTATGCAGAAATTAACAATCTGATTCTAAAATTTATATGAAAATGTTAAAGATATGGAATAGCCAAAGAAATTCTGAAAAAGAACAAAGCTGGAGAATCTAGACTGATTGACTTTAAGATTTACTGTAGAGCTACAAGAATCAAGACAGTGCAAGATATTAGCATAGGAATATTCTCTTACAAATCAATAATAAGAAAGCAAATAAATAAATAAAATAATGAATAATAAAGTGAATAGACACATCACAAAAGATGATACACACTGAGAAATACATATGAAACAATGCTTAACATCATTAGTATTAGGGAACTACAAATTTAAACTGAAAGACCACTAAATTTTCACAAGAAATTTTCATTTCAGCTAGACTGAAATACTAAATGTTGATAAAGATGAACAACTATTATAACTGTAATACAACACTGCTCTACAAGGTCCACAGAACCTTTGGAAAACAATTTGACAGTTTCATTTCTTTTCTTTTTTTATACTGGGATCCAATCCTGGT